TTTCTATTATTCCAAATCACATTTTATTTCGGACATAAAATTATTACACTTTTCAGTAGACATATTCCTGACTTAAAGTTAAATATACTTTAACAAATAATTAAACACTATCAGAGAAGTTTGGAAGAAATTTTCTCAACTTGAAAGTATAAAGTTGAATCATATGTGTAATATATTAATGTTATTCTCATTAATTAAAATGAAAAATGGGACATTTGATATTTTATACCTTTATATAAGTACACTTTATATTAAAACAATTATTAATTGTATTTAAATAAATTTTATAGAATGATTTAATTTTAATCAGTTTAAGTTATTTTGAATATTATTATTATCTCGTATTTCTTTCTAAAACGAATAATTAACAACCAACATTTAACTTAATGCTGTTCACATATTTTATTACATTATTACACATATAAACTTCAGATACGAAAGAAAAGTAAATTTTATTAATAAGCAATTTCTTTTCTGTTATTTCAGTATACATTATTCTTTGTGCCATATGATTTGTGGTCAGAAATGCCTGAATATGGGCCGACTACAGACTTTTCACAAAGTGGAATACTGCCAGAATATCAGCAGTATGAACCTCAAGTGGGGGAATTTGGATATCGGTCACAATCAGAATTCATGCCTTATTGGCCGTCTCCCGAAATAGCCGAAAATGAAAGACAAGCAGAAACGACTAGATATTGGCCACTCCCAGAAATTATTGGAGATAGGCTGCAACCAAATGAACATTGGTCACCTCCTGAATACATTGGATATGAAGAGTTTGTTGATAGAAATGAATATTGGCAGGCTTCTGAATATAGTGGATATAGTTCTCAATCAGATAGAAATGAATATATGTCAGCGCCAGAAGTAACTGAATGTGGGCCACTGCCGTATGGAAATCAATATTCGGCAGGTCCAGAAAATGTTGAATATGGAGAATATTCCAATGCAAATGAATATATGACACCTACAAAAAATGTTCAATATGGAGCTTATCCGGTTATAAATGGATATTGGCAACCTCCTGTATATAGTGGATATGGCTGTCAATCAAATATTAATGAATATATGTCAGCGCCAGAAGTAACTGAATGTGGGCCACAGCCCTATGGAAATGAATATTGGACAAGTCCAGAAAATGTCGGATATGGAGCATATTCAAATATAAATGAATATATGCCAACNTGCATCTCAGTGGTCGTTGCTTGCATCTAGAGTTATCAGTCTAAGCCAGAATGTGTATAAAAAATTCAAATCAATTAATATTCAAATAACTACACGAACAGCTGTATTCTATATAAATATTTGCTGAACTAGTGGTAGATAAGGATAAGCGGTGGCTGCATCTCAGTGGTCGTTGCATCTAGAGTTATCAGTCTAAGCCAGAATGTGTATAAAAAATTTTAATTGAAAAATGTTAAAAACCGATTTAAATGATTAAAAGTAGGTTAAGAAATATCAATATAAAAAGTAATAAATAAAGAGCATAAGTATCAGAAAGAAATATGTAGAAATCTATGACCCATCATTTCCTTGGTTATGGTTGGTTGCTCGTAGAGGTCTGTTAACAGCTTTGGATGGCTTTGCAGTTAAGCTGTTCAGCAGATTTATAAAAAATTAAAGCACAACTATGCATTAAACATGAAAGTTTTAGTATTTAATATATAAATTGTAACTTAATCCTTTCTATATATCAGCAGTTTTAATCACTGATCGAAATGTTATCGTATATTTACTCCTTTATCTAAATTATATTATTTATCGATATTGCTGGATATATTTTACTTACACAATTATTTATGTAATTTTACGAAGTATTACGAAATATTTATGTAATTTCGTAAGTAAATTGCAGTATTTTCTGTTAACTCTTTCAACTTTCCGTAGATATGTGTTTTATGAAATAGGCATTTAGATTTTATTAGAGAATTATACATTCGATTTTAATGTATAATAATGAAATTCAGACATGATTTATAAATAAATAAAATATGTAAACTTCAGATATTGAAAAACCGTATAACAACTTGTCTGACAATACCAGTATTAACTTAAGTAAACACAACTTTTCTTTATGATATCCATTTATTTCTCTATAAAAAAAATTGTAAGCATTGTTTTGAACCCTTTCTATTTATGTTAGATTACGTTTATTTAGCTCTTATTTCCACTATAATTACAATAAAGAATAAAGTTCATTGAAGAAATTTTGAGAATAGTTTTGAAGAATATAGAAATTTTTAAAATTCTGTTAATAAAGTAGGATCAAAACATCTAATTTAACATTAATAAAATGAATTTTCACAAACAACGAATTTTTATAACGCACGTTTGAGATTAATAGATGTTCATATTTTCTTTTCTCAGAATGTAGTCTACTAATGAATTCTGTTGAGCTTTCAATATAACGAGCTACTAAACAGCTAACTATTTTATTTGAACATTGCATGAACAATCATTACTATGATACTTCGTACTATTATAATGCATTTACACATAACACAACGTAATATAATGAATATGAATGATATATGCGAATAATGTTTTATCGTTTGCCGTGCTTTAAAGTTATATAAATAATACACACAAACAATTGAATATTCTCAAATAATTTTCAAAAACAGCTACGATAAGAACTGATTTGATATATTTACTCGATGTATACAATTTCAGTTTTTCTTTCATTTATCCAACTTTATTGCTTATATAAATCTTGTATTCTCCTAAACAGATTTACTAAATTATTTTTCATGCTTTTCTATTCTTTAGTTTCTGAGTTTCAAGTGAAAGATCCTGATCAAACTCAAAAGTACGAAACTCACTTAGAACAGAGCAGTTCTGCCGAATGTAATTCAGAGAAAGACTTAAAAGACGACAAAGACGAAAAAGTGTCTGAAAATATAATTACAAACAGCACAAGTGAAGAAACTTCTTGTGAACTCGATGCTACAAAACAACCTCCTATTGTAAGTTGAAGTTTAATTAAAATCATTTCAGAAAATTTCTTAATTCTGAAATTAAAACATTGAATATTGATAAATACACGTTATTATCGTATTAAATATTATTAAAAATACGATCCTACTTGATATTTAATTCCATATACATTACTTATGTACTATTATATGATTGTACTCCCTCTTTTATTTTTAAAGTTAATATGTTATTAAAATATAAAATATCTCCTGTAATGAGTGCTTGTAAGAATAACAAAACATTTATCAATTAACTTTGACATGAAAGCAGTTATTAAAACAGAATCATCTCAACTCGTAGATTAAAGTGAATAAAAATATCAAGTTTGAAAAATATATTTACATGATGTGAATAATAAATTATATACCAATACTTTCATTCGCATAGAAATATCAATGATTAAACGTTTCTTGTCTAAGGATTCTTAATGCAGAACAAGTAATTTTTAATAAAATATACAAAGATGATTCGTTAAACAGACAGAAAAACAATAAAAATAAATTTATTATTGCGAATCGTATTTTAATTTTTTTATTAATGTAGGTTAATACATACAATATCAGTAATATATTGCCCATGAGAATTTCAATCATTTTATGGTGACTAGGAACATATTAAATATGCTTGGCTATTACTTTACAATGAAACTGTTAAATGTTTATTAAATTAAACTTTAATTAATGTTTAAAAAATAATTCGAAATCTCATTTTCAGAAGAACGTGCCAGAAACTCCACTGTCTCAAGCACAAATCACATCGATTGTAAATGGAGATTTCACACTACGACCGTTATTTAAAGCGTTTTTGGATCTGGAAGAAAATTCATTAGTATGTAATGTAATATATGAAGAGGACGTGCTTAACTATGAAGACGATCTATCGGAAACATCTGATGATCTGTCTTATAGCACGGAATCAGATACGATGTCAATTGAAGATGAAGTTCCTGATACCATAAACGGAAATAAAGTATCTGACGATTGTACTACGTATCAAAACATTATAATAGTTCGAGGTCATTTGCCGGTTCACCAAACATGTGAATTAGTATTTATCAGCCCAACATCGTCTTCTGTTTATGTCGAATCAGACAAATCTGATTTATCAACAGAAATGTACGAAATTTGTGAGGAATTACTTGCGAAAAATGACAAAAACCTTGCAGACGAATTATCTTCGATGGATAATTCTAAAAAAATAATTGAAGAAAATTTAATTAAAGAATTATCTGATACAAGTCAAGAAATAACAGAAAATGAATTTATGACAATTCAATTTAATGAAAACGAATCTGCATTAAATTTAAATATTTCAAAAATTAATCAAAATGCAGTAGAATGTGCAATTGAATCAGAAAAATTTCACAAAGGTATTATCACAATTATTTGATATTTTATGTTTAATTCCTTGTTTGTATTGTTTTAACATTTTTTCATTTTCTTTCTTTAATGGCTGTTTTTATTTCTTTCAATTTTCTTTCTTTAAATATGTCCTAACAAGCATTAATTATTATGAGTTATTCACATGTACAGTACATATTAAAGTCATTTAAAAAACTTTCAGTAAGTTATGAAGTATAATATTAAATTCATATCTTCAATTTTTTAAATCTGTTTGCTTTAATTGTTTATTATGAGTATATTCGGGAAAACTTGAATTGAAGTGAAACTTTTTACAACTTTTAAATGTATAAAATCCTGTCTGCTTTATTTTATTCTTATTCTTTTTCAATAATATTGAGTGCATACGTAATGACGGCATTATAATTTTTAATGAAGAAATGACTTAAATTTAAATTATAAAATTTATTTTTCAGAAAAGACTAAGAAAGACGAGATGGACAAAACTCAAATCTTATATAAAACTGATTTGGAAGAAATCAAATATCGTGGCTCTGAATGTTTAGTCGGAGAGGAATCCAAGCCACAAACAGGAAAAAAAGTGAGAAAATGTTTTTGTTTATATTTAAAAACCGATTAAAATCTTTAAATTTACAACTATATTTTAATTAGGCCTCATTTACAAATGTAATATATTTAATCAAAAGTAAAAAATTCTATTCTAATTGAGAAGAATCAAAATTAAAATATAATTTATTAAAATATTTAACTATTTGAAAATTTTGTGTTAGAATTAAACTCTTTATCATTTAAAGATGTTTATGATCGTAATTATCAATAGTAAATTTGAAATATTTTATTGTAATCGAAGAGAGTTTAGAAATGAATAGAAATTTAATTAAATTTTCGCGTTTATTTATTATTTTAACGGAACCTTCAAATAACAACTTATGTCTTTTATATAGCAAATTTTCAACTCATTCAAATAATTAAATTAGCTCATTTGTTATCGTGTGATTTACCATGTTATTTTATATAGCCTATTTGCAATAATCTTTCAGAAGTTCTGTTATTACATAACTATTCGTTTTTAATTATTTATGTTTGATTTTCTGTGAAAAAGTTCTATTAATATTTTAAGAATATATACTTAAATTCTTTTATTAACTTCAGATTTTTTATTATGTTTAAATCTAAATAACTAAAATTTTTGATTTTATTTCATCAATTACATAAAAAATATATTTTAGAACGACTTTTATTATTGTTAATTTATGAAAATCTTTTTTAAATCTAATTTTAGGACGTAAGAAAATACATGAACGTCTTCAGACGTGTTCTTCGCAGGCTTAGACATATACTTTTTCCTTGTCTGAATCCAGAAAAGTAGTGTCTTTCTCAATGAAAACTGTATGCGAATTATAAAAAAATAATTGAACATAATTCGCTATAATTTGCCGTCTAGTGATCTGTGTACTTGATCAGAATGCCAATAATTTTATGTTTCGTTAAATTTTCAAAATTTACTTTAATTATTGTAAATACTAATTAGGAAATATATAAATAAAAGTAAACAGATCTCTCTTTGGTTGGTGTTGGACTTTTATTGAATTTTCGCGATTCTTTACTGTCGATGTGTTACATGTACCCCAGTTTTATGTATAGTCTATTCTCCGAATAATTTTAAAAGCAAAAAACATAACTCAAATGTTTATCTTATCTATTTTGTAATATTTTACATTTAAAATTGATGGATGAGTGCAAAGAATCTCGGATTCGTGACGTAAACACAAAAAGGATTTTGAGAAAGAACTTTCATTATAGCAAACGTTACAATGTACTACTTCATAAAACAAAGAAAAAAAGGGTGGAAGGATTAAATGTTGCCAACTAGCAGAGAAGTAAATTAAGCCGATAAATAAAATAAACATTCAAAGTTTAACATTATGACACGAAGTGTAATTATAATGTAGACTACATATGCTAACAAAAGCACATTTATTCCTTGCATTCTTTGTGTTTAATATTTATAAATCGCAAAATAAAACGGAAACGAAAATAATTATTGAAATGAAATCGTTATTTAGTATTGCGTGTGTTGCTTTTACGTCGAACAGATGACACTGTTTTTAAAAAAAAAAGCATGTTTTTACCTGTCACAAGTGTAACATCTATATAATAGTAGGAATATAAAAGCACGCGCATGTTCGAATGCAACGTTGGGTCAAAATTTCAAAACAATTGGTGAAGAACTTTAGAAGATTTAAGATTTAAGATTTTGAACAAACGAACATTTACATTTTTATTTATATAGATGTTATTTGTTTGTTTTTTCGCTATACACACCTAGGCCGTTCAACCAATTGAAATGAAACTCGGCTGTTACGTTCAAATACTTCTAACTTAGATGATGTCGTACATCTCACCCCAAATTATCGATTGGATTTCTATATATGGATTAATTTGTGATTGCTGGCTTTACACGTATGACCATCTACTGGAAAAAATTAACAAAATAATTAACTAAATATAATTCTTACAAAGAAGATATAATTTTAAAAAAACATATATTTTATTCACTGAATCACTGCGACAATGATGTAGCGCGAAATAGATACGCCATTACGCCATTACTGTGACAGGTAGCACATAACACTTGTCTACGTGGAGTGTAGTAGTGTTTTGCCTCCGTACTGTACATCATACTTTTTCTGTTAGCAGTAGAATCGTGCCAGTTATCCGCTCAGGAAAAAGTTTGAATTAAAATAACGTGATTTGCATTACAAATCGGAAGTTCAAATATAATTAATATTTCCTCCTCTGATGGTTTTATAGGTTTCGTCCCGACTTTTATCTATCTAATTACGTTCTCGAGTTTTAGGATGACAATGGAAATTTATAGGTCTACAATTTTTTCAAATTGCAGCCCAATAATTTTTCAATAAATTAAACTCTCGCAATATTTTCGAGAACATACTTTCCACGTAGTTTATACAATGTTGCCAATATTTAAAGACTTTATTATCACATAAAAGGAATTATTCTAGCATTTTACAAGACGTTTTTATTTAAACAAATTTTATGTGAAGTTTTTCGAACGTTAAGGTTAGCAACTTCGACCACATGCAGAGTTTGGCTGTTGGTGGGTCATGCTCTGCATGTGATACTTTTCAAATATTAATAGTAGACAGTTATTAATATCGTTGACCCTCCTACATATACATAGTCGTTGAATCATAGTCATTATATAACGGACTCTCGGTTTTAACGGACAACACCTCGTCCAAATTAGTCCGTTAAATCGACGTTTTTCGTACTATAATCATCAGCCATATTTTTACAATTTGATAAAGTATTAAATAAAGAAAAATTTCATACCGGACTAGCCTTTCCAGGGAATCCAGGAAGAGATTTGAGTTGTCATCCTTATAAAGTAGATTATGTGTCCTGCAGGATGGCAGGGAGTATGCAAAATACTATGCAAAATTATGCAAATATAACTATTATGTAACTATGCAAAATTTGGTCCAAATCAGTTAAAGGGTTTTTTTTATTTGTGGGGATGAAATCAGATGGAAGAAGCGAGAGTCCGAGTTTTAAGGCAGCTTATATGCATCGGAAAGTAATAAGCTTTCTAATAGAGAAAAAAATTTAAAAATTCGGTTCAGTACATTCTGAGATTAACTCCAGCAATCAAACAAACATTCTTGAATTATATATTAGAAATAGATAGGGAAATTTAGAATTAAAAGAAGCCTGTAGAGTTATTTAATTCTTATAATAATCGATATTATTTTTGATCGTTTTGTATTTCTGTTTCGTTTATAATCTCTACAATAGAGTATTTTAAAAAGTATGGCTACACAACTTTATTTGACAATGTGTTACGTTTGTCAAACGCATTTCGAGCGTGGCTATAAGAAATTTAAAATTTACTATATTAGTAAAATATAAGCAAATCTGTGAACTAATATGTAAATCCTATGATATAAATACAGTATACGAAGCTAACTTCCCTGTAAAATAATTCTGGCTCATACGTAAATACCGTGAGATATTAGGTATAGAAACTCTTACTGTTGTTGTACTGGTGAAATATTTTAGAAATTTTGTGCTTGGGTTTACAGAACATTATCTGGCTCCGTTACAGCATACTTTTAATTGTTTAAGAAAAACAGTTCTTCATTGTTTTAAGAAATATTTAGAAACTAATACAATACGTTAAATTATTTATACTTTTTTTTAATTTTAAAGATTTTCTGTAATACTATAAACAGCGTGTGCTCTATTTGATAAATAATTTTGTATTTATTTTATATTTTCTCGTGGTTTTGTTTACTTACATGTTCGTTTGCAATATTTCCAGATGATATAAACGTCAAACAGTTCAGTTTGATTAAAGTTTGACGCAATTATAAACATTTTGTCGTGATATGCTATAACTTCTATATAAGGAACGTTCTGTAGTTCCGTGTTTAATTGAACACGGAAACTACAACACGGAACTACAGAAGTTAGGAAGATGGAGGGGTCATAAATCGTATCTCGATTGTGGTTGAACTTAATGGAAACTTTATTCGTTATTGACATTTACAGTATTTAAACACTCTGTTTATTACATTTTGTCTTTTTATAATAACTAATAATTCAAGATAATTTTAATAACATCTCATAATAGATGTCGCACCCACAATTCTGACTTTTAGGTAGGATCATAGCCCACCAGTGACTAAGCAGTTCCGTTTCCTGAACACTTGGAGTTCGATCGTGGTATCGCGCCTCGCCAGGTCGGGAGGCTACGTGGATTTTTCCTGGTTTTCTCCACGTCTCACAGTGAGGCCAAATCCCAAAAAGCTGGCCAAAAGTCAAAAGCGTTATCAATTTGGCTGAAAATCCGTATTCGAGGGTTTTACTTTTCTGCAGGTATACTTTTATAAAGTGCGAGTAATCATCAATAATACTTTGGAAATATTTTCCATTATTTACATTGCACGGAGTGACAGATCCACGAATATAACAACTCTCCTAATCACTTATATAGTCGTAGTATCCTTCATAAATGGAAGTCTGCCAGCCTTTCCTACCATGCACACTTCATATATATTTTTAGATCACTATAGCGTCTTGCCCTTATTATTATTACAACATTTTGTGTTAATACTATGTACATAATTAGGGTTTGTCACACTGACTCACTTGACAAAAGGAGTTTACTAATTAATTACATACACCTATATATATGCACACTATTACCAATTCGAAATACATTTCGAACTTTACAATGGCCCCTCTCTTCACTTAGACATTTTTGTAATTTAAACATTATGTGTATAACAATCTGTTAAAATTAGAACAGATAAATAACAAGAACAGTTCAGAATTAAAAACAAAAATTGTAAAAAAAAACAACGTTTTTTAAAACAGGAGCCATTCCTTAGCTTGTTGTAATCATAATTCCAACCATTCTCTTCCAATTTTTTTTCTTTTTCACCATAGCGAATAAACANTGATTGGACATGGCAAGCAAAATTGGACTCGTATCCAGATGTATTTTACTTTTTATTAAATTGTAATTCTGCCAGTTCTTTTCTACAAATAATTTTGTATTTATTTTGTATTTTCTCGTTGTTTTACTTACATGTTCGTTTGCAATATTTCCAGATGATATAAACGTCAAACAGTTCAGTTTGATTAAAATTTGACGCAATTATAAACATTTTTTCGCGATGTGCTATATAACTCCTATATAGGGAACGTTGATGCTATTAAACTTCGGAGCACGGAACTGCACAAGTTAGGGAGATGAAGGGGTCATATATCACATCTCGATTGTGGTCGAACTTAATGGAAACTATTCGTTATTGACTATATGGAATAATTAGTTGTAGATTACAGGCTATTAGATGTGTAAAGATCACACTATACAGAATATTCTGTTTGTAGATTCCTAAAACAGCAAAAGCGAATGGGCATATTCCAGCTAGTACCAGTAGCATTTGATTTGGAAAAGCAAAAATTACTTTAAAATTTATTGCTTTGAAACATATAAATCATGTCTATTTGATCACTGATTATTGAGACTTAAGATATTTTGTTCAGTAAAACATACTGTATTACTGTTTTAGTATCAATAAAAATCCTGCAAGGAGTAGCATAACTTTCCCGGCTTTTAAAAAATAACGTTTATATTATATTTTTCATTATAATATAATTGTGTGTGCCGCCCTTTATTATGAGATTTTATTATAAAAACAGTTTTACATTTTTAATTATTATAAAATGGCAGAAAACAAATTTGGAGGATAGTGACGAGTTTCATACAAAATTATAAATGCGATTAACGAATAACATCGTCATTAAGTCCGATATATGACATATGACATCCGCCTATCTCCCTACTCCCTCGACCATTCTCAATCAAACTTTAACAGCATTAATACAATTTTACAAGCTCCTTACACACAAGCTATCATTGAAAATCTCATTTTCTTAATCTTTACACCATCCTAACATTTTAAACGAAATACATGCCAACACACACACACACTCACATATAAGCTTATACGAAATTTTTTGCCGGTTTTTTACTATTTTGGATTCAGCGGTCTCAAAACGTGAATATTTCAAAACCTCCGGGAATCAAATTTCACACGATTACAATACTTTTCCTTGTTATGTATATGTTACTGTGAAAGACCGAAATTAGAGAATGTCGACACATACAAAATACGTCGGTGAAAGTACGAACATTTGGTTATATTATTACACATTCGAACAATCGCCGGTGTATGTCGACAAACACAAATAAGCTTTGGTAGAGGTCGAAACGACACCCGAGAAACCGATGTCGACAGAGGCGATAATCTGTCGCCAAATCCTTTGTGGGTAGCTGGAGGTAGGAAAAGGTCTTTTGATCCCGAGAGGTGGGGATCGGTTTGTCAGGTCGAGTTGCAAAGGATGAGAGGGATCGTCGGTAAGGCGTCGGCGATATCTGAATAAAAGACACCATTAACAGATCAGTTCGTAATCACGTAATAACGTAATCAGTTCGTAATTTGTAAAGAAAAGTTACTTTCGATAGATGAGATTTCTTCTCAAGAAATATCGCTGAGAGAAGCAGCTGCAGCTAATTCGAACAGTGGAGGGCAAGGCTATACCCGCTGTCATTGCAAAAAAAAAGTGTTCCACGAATAAATGCAGTTGTAAAAGCAAGGGGCTCTTGTGCAATTCAAAGTACCATAACAGTTTAAGTTGTTGCAATAAATAAGATTAATCACATAATTTATGTGTAAGTTTATTATTGTATTATTTTCTTTAATGATTAAGAATGTACTGTTTGTTTTAGGTTCAACAGTTTATTTAAATGTGCTGTTACTTAATTAAGCTTTCTCCTATTTTCACTTATTAAAATGTTGAATTTTTGTCTTAACGTAATAAAATATTTTTATTCAACATTCACCATCAGCGCATGATGAATGTCGACATTTGTCGGTGTAAGTGAGAAATAATGATATTTAGCAAATATTTCGTACATACACAAAACGACTGTGTGAATGCTGACATTCACCAGAGAATGTTGACATTCGCCAGATATCGGTCATTCACAGTAACATATACTGTATATATATATGGACGTGTGTGGCCCTATATTTCACTTTTCAGCCAAAACTACACATCGCACGTGAATGGTGTTTGTATGTGGTAGTAGCCCCAAGTTTCCATTCGTGCACTATGGTGGTTGCGTCTCGATAGCTATAAGGGTACGGGAGATATGGGCTTGAAAGTGGAAGATTTTCTATTTCGATTTTAAAAATTTTCGAATTCGAATTGGTTCGATTATAGAACGATTGTAAACGTTCCAGAAAATTGATCAAATTGAAAATAGTTCGTTTGACTGGACGTAAAAATTCTCTAATTAGTCTGGAAACGGGGGACCTAATTCTTGCATTCTGTGAAAACGGGTAAGATTGGCTATAATGTAATTATCTTAATCTTCACTATCGTTACTTTTTGCCCACAAATAAAAACCCAGCGAAGCGGGTCCTTGCAGCTAGTAATAATAATAAAATAAAATGTAAAATAACCTCGTCACATTTTAATTTCTTAAATAAAGGTTCCTCATGACGAAAAGTTTGTTTTTTTTACAATTTTTAAGAAATTTATAAATTATTATGTAAATTAATTGGCACATTTCGACGAAGATCGAATACATGGAGAAGATGAAGCTCAGACTCCAACAGTATCCTACGGAGAAGGGTCTGTTATGAGAAGTGACTTCAAAGTAAAACTTTTCGTCACAGCGTGAACATTTTTTGTTGTTCCTTTTTTTGATTTTCTTTAAAAAATTTTAAAGTGTTTAGCAGTGCTGTGGAAAGGCTAGAGCAGAATTGTTGTTCATAAGAATGGTCCCATTTATCCTGTGCCTCTGACCCCTTGTCTGTGCTTTCTCGTCTTCAATTCTGAGACTCCACGGATACGGGAGGATGTTTGGAGTAACCTCCAAATCGGGGCCCTCAATGAGTTACTTATTGTCGGCCTGGATTTGACAAGGTTCACAGCGATGCAACCGGATGGTGAGAAACGGGGTCCGACGTATCTGGAATAGACCATCAAAATAATTCCTGAGGGGTTTTCGAGCTGTCCGGATTTGATCTTGGATCCCCAGAGTGGTAGACTGCCATCTTAACTGTGCATGGTTCCATCAGATAAGTAAAGTTAGGTTATAGCATTGTTGTCTTAAAAATTGAAAGCCCACAGAATCAGCAGTAGGTGATTGATCTAAATGTGGAATGCTAACACATTGTCAATAGAGCCAGATTTCATTAGCCATATTGCCTTTTTCTTTAAACTTGTGCTGTTATCTTGCTTTCAAGATGAATTTGCTTTTCTAAAGGGTGAGCAAGCTTTCAAAATTCATAAAGCATGTTTATTATGAAATATTTTTTAAAATATTTTCATAAAAAGGGAATTTAAATGTGTAACAACCAAACAATTTATTAATTTTCCAAGATATAACTTCTTGCTCATTCTTCACCTTTACAAAATATATTATGCTATTATGCTAGTTGACATTTTATAAACCTTTAAATTCATTTTAAGACATTTTAATGGATAATACAACTTGCTAGTCTATTAAAAATGTTAAAAAAAATCAATAAATAATTGTCTAATGTAATTAAAATCATTCATTTTGATATTTAACACTCTTTGAAACTATAGAAGCAAAGATCAGAATAAAAGAATGAGGGAAATTTGTCTACTTTCCATATTTTAAATAATTCACACAAGTACTAGAATTAAATCAAAAAATATATTTAAATTGAGAAGAAAAATAAAAATTTTTGTAAAAATTACAAAATGTCTTCTACAATCCATTATTTTGTATTAGTCTTCATTTTTGTAATTTTAAATATTTTGCAAAAATAAAAAATTTTAAAAAAATCCAGGATTGAATTTAATTTAAGAAAAAAAACTCAAGAAATAATGTCAATTTATTTGATCAAAGCTTTTATTGTTAGTAAAACTTTATTGGTAATCACTTTTCAGTTTGTTACAAAATATTTCATAAACTTATAAATTGTAACAACTATGCAATGAGTACTTTTGAAAAGACAACAATAGTATATTCTCATTCAATAATCCTAATATAAATAATTTCCCCTCTTTTTAACATTACTTAATTAAAAACAAAAGGAAAATTTCAATGCTGCAATAAACAATATCACATAATTTCACTGGCAGGAGATATTTTATTCATCCTGCTAAAAAAAAATATCACAAATCATTAAGGAGTCACTTAAAACTGAAATTTCAGAGGAAACTTTCTAATAAATTTCAAAACTTATTGAAACAATACATAAATAAATTATTATATATCATTACAATGATTTTATTTTATGAATAAATAAATAAATTCAAAAAGTTCATACAAAATAAAAACTTTTATATTTATAAAATATTTATGTTTAGATTTCCAAATATTAAATATTGTAGACTCCAAAAAAACATTTTTGAAAATGTTTAATATGTTTTATAAACATTAAAAAAAATGTTTGTAATACAAAAAGATATCTCAGATCTATGTTACTACTAGTTTGGATTTTAGCTTCTTAATTATGAAGGTTTCACCCATTTATAAGTTCCGTAAAACTTGTAACCGTATTTCTGTAGCAGTTCGTCGGCTTCTTTTGGGCCACGGCTAAAACGACAAAGAAAGAGATTTTATAAACTTCAAACTGTTTGGCTACAATATATCTTGGTTTTTAATCACTTTCCATTTTATTGATCTTAGTTATTCAATTTTAAATGGATAACTACAAATAACAAAAATAAAAATTTGAGTTTTTTTTTTCTATATTACATCAATGCATTGTGTTGATAAAGTATACAACAAAAAATAATTGAAACTGCTTTCAAATGTCCAACTATCAGAAAATAAAACCAAAATGTGATTATAGAAAATAAAATACAAATACTTCTTGATTAACACAAACTAATGTTCTTTTTAAATTTAACACACATCTTTGTAATTTATTTTGTTAAATTAGTTAAAAGAAGCAAATAAGATCCATAGATTTCTATCAATCTTATTTGCTTATTCCACTATAATAGTTTAGTAACAACTTTGTTATTGAATAAATGACAAAATGTAAATTGTAAATTTGTAATGTGCACACTAGGAATAGACCAATAATAAGCATAAGTGTATCCTAAGTGTTTGGGTTAATCTGTCCACAATTAGTCACATGTAATTGTGAATTATATAAAAAAACAGTAACCAAGTAAATTAGCTTTATTAAAGTATAAAATACTTTTCTAAAGTATCAAAATATCCACACACATTACTTAGCTGTATTAGAAAAACTTGGTTTACTACTTTTTCAAAGATCAAGATGAGGGAAATTTTACATCTCAATCTCCAAGACAGCTATAATCCTTCAAAATACATATATTCAAAGGGCCTAATAATAACAAAAATAAATTCTAAAATTTTTTGAAATTCTTAAATATTCTATTCTATATTTGAGCTACTTAATTAATGAGTAATAGGTACATTAAATACATCTTGAAAACAGACAGTAGAAATTAAATTTAAAACTTCAACTTGATTGAAATGTTTATATTCAGTCAAATTCTTTAATACAGGGTGTCCACAGTCTGGGTACATAAGGATTAACACATACTTTTAAAAACAAAATAATTTTATTTGATTCTAATATTAATAAATAACATTTTCAATATGATTTCCATCATTTTCAATACATAATTTGATGCACCTTGCAAAATTCAGGTGAACTCAATTAAATAGGTCTGTATTGCTGTCGATTTCAGCACACTGACTGGTAATGGTGTCCACAAATTATGGCACATCAAATTATGTATTGAAAATGATGGAAATCATATTGAAAATGTTATTTATTAATATTAGAATCAAATAAAATTATTTTGTTTTAAAAGTATGTGTTAATCCTTATGTACCCAGACTTTGTGGGCACCCTATATATATATATATATTCATTCATCCAAACTATTAAGTCATTTAACAATAATAATAAATAAGTTTTAATAAGCAAGATTTAATATTTCTCTAAACATAGTTTTAAAATATTATTTGTAGAAATTTATTAAATATAAGTTCTTTCTTTATAATAAATACTAGCAGACCCCGCCACGCTTTGTTGTGGCTCAAAATGTATGTATTATAAATGTATAAGACTTCCCCGTGGGGGAGAATTTTTCAAAAAATCCCTTCTTAGTGTACATTTTCTTGACATACCCTATTAAAACGCAATCAAAAACGCAAAAAACCACATCTAAAATAGTATAATAGAAGCCAAGTTCTTCACACTAAGCCTTAATCCTGTCCATCTCCCCTCCCAGTGGGGGAATTTTGACATGTATATTATATAAAAACATGTGCGTATTCGAATGCAACATTGTGTCAAAATTTCAAAGGAATAAGTCGGAACAAATGAACATTACATTTTTATTTATATAGATAGAAGATAATCTGGGTTCGTTTTTAGTTCATCCTCACAGAAAAGGTCGTTGTACTCACAGAGTTTGCACCATCTGTTGGACCTAAAAACCTTAATCCTAGATGATATCTTTTAATTTATATGAATGTTTAACGGAATAATATACAGCTTATGTCCACCCTGAAGGCCCATTCTAAATATTGGTGAAAGAATTTTTGAAATTTGATGAGTAATTTCAGAGATTACCTCCTACAGCTAAACTTACAAACTTTACCTCTTTATAAAATTAGTATAGATAAAGTAAAAATGAAAGATTTTAAAAACAAAATCATACCTTCCGTGTTGATAAGGTAATGGTTTAACTTTTTCCTGCTCAATTGTATGTAGAAGTGGTGTGAAGATTCGCCACGCTTCTGCCAATTCGTCGGCACGAACAAAATGCATTTGATTACCACAAAACACATCTAAAATTAATCTCTCATAAGCTTCTGGCATTGCTAATCCCTAATAAATAAAATCTTCAATCAATTTAATAATAATGAGGATAATTAAAAACATACATGATGTATTTTTTTTACCTTATAGCGATTTCCATATGTTAAATCTAGTTCGGTTTCTTCCATTTCAAAAGACATACCCGGTTTCTTTGTCATCATTTTAACATAGATTGCTTCATTTGGCTGAACTCTTATGACTAATTCATTTCTTTTACATTGTCCTTCAAAAATATCACCTTTTACATCATTGTATTGAATACGTACTTCAGCTTTCTTTTCATTTAGAGCTGTTAAAATAATAATAAATATTCTTAATATTTTCAAATTTCCAAAACTAAATAAGTAATCAAGTTTTTTCATTTATAGATTAAAATAATACTTTTGTACTTATGATGACTTATATTTTAAACTAAATGGTTGAAGATAATTGATTTTTGCTTTTGTAATTTATTGTTCATATATTTCACTCTAAATATCTAAATGTTTAATTCATAATATAAGTGAGCTTAGATTATAGGTCCTAATCTTGATAAGGTTATGATATTTGTTATTAATTAATCATGTCAGTTAGAAAATTACACCTATTTCTGTTGTCATCTAACAACTTCCATGTTACAAGCCTGTAGGATTGTTTAATACATGAAATTGTATAAATGTTTATGACTTAAGACTAATACTGAAAACATTTATTGAGTGAAAATTTTTGGAGAATATATTTATTATTTCTTATTTTAAATAAATAAATTTATATTTATACTGTTTAATATAACTCAATTTTAAAACATTAAAACAAGCCCTTTGTAGGATACACAGACCCACTTTTTTGAGAGAGAGAGATGTATAACTATTTGCTTTCTACAAGATCAAGATATAAAAATTTCTACTGAAAATCTACCAAACAAAAATTTGGATTAAAGAGATATTCATACACAAGATCCAATATACAGCAACCACAAAACAGAAAACTTGTATGAAAATTTCTGTTAAATACTCATCTTGATCTTGAAGTAGTTAGCCATTTGTATGTAAAAAAAGTGAAAAATTATCTACAGTTAATTTTTCTCTGAATGATGATGCAATAATAATAATAATAATAATAATAATGCACGATAACCAGTATGGTATACAACCCGTAACGGATTGTGTAGAAGGTATAGACCAACTGACACAAAATATAGTGGTTGATGAGGATCAAGAACCTATAGTTTTGCACTTTCTTCGAATATTGGCAAAAACGAAAGAAATCACGCTTGAGGAGCGGCTGCTTCTACCTAAAGCCAAAATAAACAGACGTTTCATAGAAAATCTAAATATTCTCAATAAATATTTACCTAGTTTATTAATTACTAATAATAGCCTGCGTGAAATAAATGATATAATATATGNACAAACACAATAAAATCACATACATTATAGACATAGCCATTCCAAACACTCACAATGTACAAAACACGTGCACTGAAAAAATTAGCAAGTACACAGAACTCGCCCAGGAAATAAGGCATCTGTGCAGGATGGATAGGGTGCTTATTGTGCCTGTTGTTCTCTCCTGTACAGATGTGATACCACATACACTACACAAAAGCCTGGGAGCATTACAATTGAGTAGAAATACATACATCACACTACAGAAGGCCACTATATTGAATACATGCCACATTGTTAGGAAATTTCTGAATACAGACACACACACTGACACACTTATTTAATTTTAGTTTCGTTTTGGTTGCTATGCCTTGACTCTGATCCTGCATAGTACACAGCCACCGGTGTGAACCGAGTATAACTCACAAAACCCAACATAATAATAATAATAAGTAAAAATTACAATTTAAATAGTTTAATTTTATCTGAATAATATGCATACTAAACTGATAATGTAAAAAAGTGCTGATAAATAAAGATAATTACTGAAAAATAATGCAAAAATTGTTGTTAGTGAAATCATTTATCATCATTAATTTTTATTGAAAAAGTAGATCTTATCCAACTTTACAAAAGTCTCTGTCAAACCCAATCTTTGAAGGTGATCCAATATAAAGGAGGTGATCATCCATTGATTAGCAACATTGCATTATATAATATTTAATGTTTTATTTAATAGTTGCTAAAGCAAGATTTGAAAATAAACCAATTTTTTTTTTTAAACTGACAAAGATCATTACATTAAAGTTGATGACAACATATCCTAAAATCAATCAATACCTTTTAGCTTCAAGTAAGAGGTTTAACATACAAATGAATGAATTTTTTGATTTATTTCATAAACTTACTTCATAAATTCAAAAATACAATGTTCTAAAATTCCACAAAGGAATGTTTAAATGTTTTATATGACATTACAAATAACCATTTATATTTAAAATATTCATACAATAAGAATACAGTATGTATAATTTAAAATACCAAGTGTAACTTTGTATTTTAAAAAGGTATCAAAAAAAGTTAACTTAAAAGTTGAAGATAGATATTATTGAATATAATTAAGTACAGATTGTGCCTTAATAATATGCATCTTCTCTACATGTAAGTTGCCCCTTGTTTCTTGAGGATTATCAAAGAAAAATCTGCATGACACTTTCAGTGCATGAAAAGGTCTTTTTTTCCTGTCAGGGATTAACAATATTAGTTATGATACAAACATTGGACCATGTATTAGAACAAGTCTTATAAGGGGCTTGCTCTAATATTTTTGGTGCAATGATATTCTCCCAGCATATTAATAGCTGTTATATTAAAGTATTTTGCTGCTTTTTTTGTTAGAGTATCCATTTCAATTTAATATATTTTCTAAAAAGTGTGGGATACTTCTAATTCTAGCCCAATTACTCTCCCATTGACTTCTGATAGAAGGTTTGTATCTTTATTGAATAAGCTGTTCTCTAGATTTATAAATTTGGTAAGCTGAGCATATGTAATTCTTCCTGAATTTTGAATTGTCTTCTGTAGGCATATGAATCTAAATTTCAGTAGCAGTGATTGGCATCCATTAGGCAATTTAAGTCTGAAGATTGATATGGGAAATACTTTATTTGCATTTGCATTCCAAGATGGACCTTAGTTTCTCTTTTGTCCTGGTAAGTGTTAAGTGCTAGCATGTATTTTTTTGTATTCAAATGGTTGGCAAAGCCCTAGTAATCACTTCAAATGTTCAAACTAGAACCTCAGTTTACAACATAAAAATTATAACTTTACTCACTATTTCCAGCAAATTATTTCAGTCCTGCACTAATTTGTTTTTGACTCCCTGAGAAATCTTCCTCTGGCCTTATTGTTGCAAATTTGAATACTCAGAGATTCTAATTCTGGAACACTTTTTAAGAATTCTCATTTTTATCTTTACTTATAAGGAGCAACTTTATACATATAGAGAAAATGCAAATTATTAACGCATGATCTGTGCTTAATTATATTCCATAGTAATTTTTCAACATCTTTAAGTTACAGTTATTCTTACTCTATGAATAATTTAAAATACTGTGTATATTTTAAGCAATAATTTCATAAAAACTGTTTAAACATTCCTTTCTGGAATTTCAGAATGTATTTTCAAATGCTAAACCTGAAGTGAATTTATGAAATAAACTGAAAATGTTTGTTCGTTTATATCTTAAATAAACATATCACTGGAAAAGTGTGAAAAGGATATTGATGCAATGTTATTTGTTCCAGCTTTGTTGCATTTTATACCCTGAAAAATTGAATAAATATTAAAAGTTTAAAATATTGTGAAATGATTTAAATAGATATTTTTTTATTGTTAAATATTTTGAATGTTTTGACTGTTACTAACCTTTACCACAACGAAGAAAAAAAGGCACACCATCCCAGCGTTCATTATTGATGAAGCATGTAGCTAAAGCATAAGTTGGTGTAATTGAGTCATTAGGAACAGTAGGATCATCCTGATAACTACTGCTGGCATCACCTTCTGCATCTGAATTTCCTACATATTGTCCCAAAACAACATTTTCTAGTTTCACTTCTGGCATACATCTCAATACTTTAACCTATATCATAAAAGAATATACTATGTAAAATTCTATTGACAGCTGAAAAGTAATTATTAAATTAATGTAAAAATAAATTAAAACCATTAACATTAGTTACTTAGAAATATAAGAAAAAATTTTTTAAAAAATGGGAAATAATTGTTAGATTCAATAAAAATTCAAAAAATGTCAAAATATGATTTAATCAATTAATTAGCAAATTTTCACAAATTATTCTGTCTTATAATTTTAAAATGTTATATAAAACTAAGTTTTTTGAACATTAAATATCCTAATTTAGTTATAATAAATATTTTTAATTATGCATATATTCCAAGTGTTTAGAAATTACTTATATATATATATATTATTAATAAAGGATTTTCTAACATTTTTCCTCATTAAGTGAGAAAATTTATACTTACGATGAAAATATATAATTATTGAAGACTGGATCAAATGAAAAGAGAATTCACAAGTAATGTGAGGAGGCAAGTGACATTATGAGTCACTCTTGACAATGCCAATACCAAAGATTGGATTCACCTAAATATCCAAGTCTTTCCTCTAATTAGATTTTTGTTTATGATAAGTTAACTAATTTTTGTAACACATCTCACTTAATAAAAGTTTATAAATATAAAACTTTGTACACACATAATTTAGGGTAATTTTCATATAAGTCATTGCCTTAATTTTTGGCAACTTTTCTTCTCTATGTAAATTTCAACTGTAACAATTCTTCATTTTTTAGTGCAAGGCATTTCTTGTTGTCATAACAAGTAATAAATGACAAAAATGAGTTAATACTACATATAGAATTCAGTGGTATGTGACAAGTCAGTCAAGCACAAACTCTCAGCATCATCAATAACTATTTCCTGCAAAGTTACACAAGATTTTATGTTTATCAACTCTGTGTGTGTATTATATATAAGTATAAGTATTTGCACACTTTTAATGCAAAACATTCAACAATATCAATTGGTAAACAAACAACAGTATACTAAAGACAATTGTGCATAATATGCAATACAGAAGTACAGAAGTAATACTATATAGAAGCAGCAAGTGAAATAATGAGGTAAATATACTTAAATGTATTAAATAAAAAAGTGAAAAACTAAAAAATTTCTCTAATTACTGTAATGTTTATTTGTACTGACATAAAAATATCTAACAGGTACAAATTTGACTACAGGTTATGACTCACCAACATTTAAAACATTTTAAAATATTTATAAAAATGAAACAAAAGATAGGATTTTTACTAAAATAATGGGACATGGCAATGAAACAGAGTGTATGGTCATCCTGCTTCTAAGATAACTTTAAAAAAGTGTTATCCACATTTGCTATTGATAAATGAAAAAAAAAAAAACTTTTCAGAATCTGTTAATTTTTAGGGAAATGTGGAGAAACCACAAATGTTCCAAGTTACTAGAAGCTGTAATGATTTGCATCTGCTAATAAATATTTTGATTCTTTCTATCTACTTTTAATAATGTAAATCATTTTAAAAAACTTCTGTAAACTTGCTTGTTAATCGTTACATATAATTAAGTGGCATGTCAAAAAAGTAAAAATACATTGAGTTTATACTCAATGTATTTTTACTTTAGTATACAGAAAGTTAATGTTTCAGTGCATATGTTAACAGCCGATTTGACCTTGAACCTTTAATGCTCTTTTTGTGGACATCATTATTGTTACACTAAACCTGGTTTGAGTAGCACTAGTTTACAATGGCTGCACTGATTCAGAATCCCACCAAATGTGAAGTGCACTCCATCATATGTTTTCTCAATGCAAAAGGTGAGCTCTCAGCAAATATTCACAAAAATTGTTTGTTTATGGGAACAATATGAATCAACAAAATGTAAGAAAGTGGTTCCATGCATTTTATGGAGGCTTGACTGATAGACATGATGAACACAGGAATGGTAGGCTCTCCGTGATCTCTGATGAACTTCTTCAAAGAACTGAGGAAGTAATTTGTGCAAATTGGCATCTTACAATAACAGGAATTGCATGAAATTTCCATGACAAGATCAAAAATAAAACTGAAATGTGATTCTGGCAGCAAGAGGTAGAATTCTACAGCTCTGGATTACAGAAGCTAGTACCCAGACTTAATAAGAGTTTTGACAATAGCAGCATTTATGTAGAAAAATAATGCATGTATCAGTAAATAAGGTGTAGTGAATGTTTAAATCAAATAATGTTTGAAATGAATATTAGTTGTTATATCTTTTCTTTTTGGATGTGCCTCATAATTTATGTACATTATCATATAACTATACAAATTCAGTATTATTGCTGGAACTGAATCAAGTACAAACTAACCTTTTCATCTCTTATATCCTTAGGTTTTGTAGAAATTGGTTTTTCCATAGCTACCAGACATAACATTTGCATCAGATGATTCTGCATCACATCTCTAAGTATAAGAAATTACAAAAAGTCTAGAATTATTATATCTATATATAGAATTTGTTTTTTTTTAAATTACATACATACATACCTCACAATACCAAAACTATCAAAATATCCACCCCTGCCTTGAGTTCCAAATGGTTCTTTAAATGAAATCATGACATTAGCAATATTATCACGATTCCACGTAGGTCCAAATATTCTATTTCCAAATCTATTATAAATATAGTTGAATAAGAATTTCAAAGTACTATGGCTTTGAAATAAAAATATTTTACCTTAATACCATTAAATTCTGAACCATTTCTTTACCCAAATAATGATCGATACGATAGATTTCCTCCTCTTTGAAAAGCATTCCGAGATGTTCGGATAGCATAGCAGAACTTTTGGTATCTCGTCCAAATGGCTTCTCAATTACTATTCGGTTCCAACCACTAATTTAAAAAAAAAAAAATCTGACTCATGAGTATTTTCATAATTACTTATATGCTTACTTTTTAAAGTTATACCATGCAAATATTGTTTTAAATTAAATTTTATTGGAGAAAAATCCTTGAAAAATTACATTCAGATTTATTACTCAATTTTAAAATTTACTTTATTTTGGATAAGTAAAAATGGATAATAAAGATGATTTTTTTTTTATACTATGAATATAAAATTTAACAGTCACTATAGTGACCACTAGTGTGTATAGATGGTGTTAGGGTGAGATATAGATGGGTACCACACCACTTTAAAATATCCTTACCCACCCCATCTGTCCATCCTGAAATAATTAATTCAAGTGTACTTACGCTTATCATTATTGGGGGTATCTTTATACTGTTCAGTGATCACATTAGTTTAAATTAAAAGTTTGTTATCAGCAAAAGAACACATTTGAACTCCTTTTTGAACACATTTCTTTTACTCCTTTCTAACATTTAGAATGTACTATACATTTCAAGAAGAATTATGATGCATCAAAAGAAATCTTATTGTGTATACAGAAGAGCTTTGTTTACATATTAATACTGTATATTCTAATGAAAATTTAATTATTTAATGCATTTATTGCTGGAGATCAGAGAATTAAAATTAGAATTAAATTATCTATTATCTAATGAAATGTTCATCAATAAGGGCATATTGATCAAATACTCAATTGGATGAGATGTTTTTAGCAGAAAGCTGTTAATAAACAAACCACCATTAAATTCCATTAAAGTTCAAATCTAATAAAATAGTATATTCAACCATTATTAATATAACCAAAGTCTGTAGGGTTTTTTTAGTGTGTTTCTTCACAGATGGTACAGCATGGTACTACATAATCATAAATAATAATTTAATGTGTTATTTTTATTGTTTTGTTGTTATTATTATTATTAACTTTATTATTATAATATCCAAAAGATTGTTGACAAGATGGAGCTACTTCATTCCATTCAGCACATTAACATTTTTTATTTAGAAGCGTGGTATATCAGTATCTAAGAGAAAGCAAAGCAAGGAAACCTTTATCAAGATTATAGAATTTTTGGTGTGTTCTGTATCCAGGATGCAAATGATAAACGTCTATACTTTAATGTTGTCCACAAGTCAGTCTGACAAGAGATGGGAATGTAAATATATTAACTAGGGGAAAGAGGTGGAATAAGTACATTTTATCCTTTCTTCATGTTATGGTGACATTAACAAGGGAGTTCCAATCAACCTGACTGGGACAAAAGGCCAGACCATTAACTATATAGTTTCCTTGTCAAGCATAATGGAGAACTATCTAGTACTTTAATAGTCATCCTCAGGTAGTACTTTAATAGTCATCCTTTAGTATATTAGATCATTTTTTAAAAATGGAACATATACACAAATTTTTATGGAATAAATACAAATTTAAACAACTTACATGTAAATACAAATGTATTATGAGTAATGAATAATACAGATAAATAAGGAATATAATAACTACATTAAAAATAATGATAAAAATAAAGAATAAAAGTAAAAATTTATGCAGATGTACTGTACAGATTTTATTCCTCATACATCAATCAATATGAGAGAAAGAGAGAGAGACTGCATCTTTTGCTTTTATGCACTTGAATTTTCTAGTAGATTTGTGAATTTCTAAGGTCTCAACTCCTCTTAATTCTACATAACTATAGGTCAATCATATTCAGTGAATTTCTTTTACACTAACATGAATATCTGGTTCTAATACAAATGATGTTAATGAGGCAACTGAAAGTTCCTTTTTTATGGTGAATTCATGTTCCCTCAGTTGAGTCTGCAAAAACTGATGTAACTCCAAGGTACTCTAAATCTGTATTGAACCTATCATCCCTAATTGAAATACTGTACACTTGAGAATCTTTGACCTATCCACATCATCTGTCATTTCTGTGCAATCTACAGACAGTTGGGTTTCTTCTATAACGAATCCTGTTATTAGTGTTCCTTATTGTGTCCATGCATTTCTTGCAATTTCTCATTGAAATTTAATACTGTGATCTTGTGTGTGCATTAATGGTAATGATGCTCACGTATTTTGCTAGAAAAGTTGTTGATCAATTTATGTACAATTTTTTTAGGGTAGTCGTGCATAATGGCAATTTTTCTAAAATAGTCCAATTCCAATCAAAACTTCTTCCAAAATTTCAGACTATGAGGTGTTAAATATTTAACGCTCATAGTCTGAAATTTTGGAAGAAGTTTTGATTGAGATAACTGTTGGCGTGACATCCAAGCCCAGTACTTAATAGTCCAATTCCTTTTGTGTGTCAAAAATGCTCAAACAATAGGTATCACACTGTATAAGGAAGTGAATGCAGAGAGCTTGAAACAGAACAATCATTTTGAAACAGCTAGTGTAAATAATGTTTTCGATATATGCTGGTGGTGTTACGTCAATCTGTAAGACGTATGTGTAAGTCTGAAAAATATGCCATGGTGTCATTTTCTTGCTCTGAAGATAGTGCAAGTCCTTATGGGTTGTTATTCATATCATGCAAAAATTGGTGTACATTTTTGTGCCATATAATGAGAATATCTTTCACATATCTGGTATAGGTGACAATCTGGTGGAGGTTGCAGAAGAGGATCAATGTGTTCTAGAGTTCTAATGGCAAACCTCTGGTTTGCATGTAATGAACATTTAACATATTAAGAATAAACATCTATGTAATTGAATGATTTAATTTTAATTGATTTTGTATGTTATGCTAATGTTTTCATTGAAATAACTATGGCTTATAAACATTATTATTTGTTTTGTCAGTTGGCTGTTATTAATCACCTAGGTAAATTCAAGCTTATTAGTAATAATGATAATTATAAAACAAATTTTTGATTAGAATATACAAAAGCTTTGTGATGTTATTTAAGTTAGATGTTTTGGACAAGTTAATTCTGATAATATTAGATGATTGATAATATCTGATTACAGTAAGTGGCATCTATTGTATATATGCAATAATAAGAACTTTCGAATTTGCTCTTTGCAATTTACTACTTCTCTGACATACATTTATATGATTCTTACTTGTATGTGTTTTGAAATTCAATAGCTAGAAAGAGCAATTAAATATACATACTGTACATATGAATAAGGATATTTTTCAGCTGAAACATGCCAATATGCCACTTCAGTGGAAGGTATAGCATGAAAAATTTGATAGCCAGTATGTAGTACTGGCAGTTGCTCAGTACAAACAATTCTACAAGTTCAGTTACCATATGTGCATACAGCAGTAAATTTTTAGCACGTTTCACGGTAGTGGAGAAATGTTTATGTTAGAACTTTTGTCCATCTGTCAGATTTCCATGTGCATGTACAATAACTTTACTTTTGTTACCAAAGCATTATGTTCCATTTCATCCTTTCGATTCAAACGTTGGAAATTAGGCTTATAACTTAAGCCTACATTCTATCAACAAGAAATTTCCAACATTAGGTTAAACTCAGTCAGCTTAAAATTTCCAACATTAGGCTTAGGAGTTACGTAAGTGTTATATTCCGTTCAATCCACTTATTGTGCATGTCTATGTGCATGCGCAACAACTACTTGATCTATTTTCTTATTAATTTTTAGCACACTCCACTATAGTCATTTGATAACATTTATTGCACATGTCTATACACATGCACAATGACTTCACTTTCGTTACCTAAGTGTTATTTCCATTCAATCCACCATTGCGCATGTCCATGCACATGCACAAAAGGGATTTGAACATTTTCGTTTACGGTCACTGTAAGCTATAGTAAAAAGTCTACCTGGTTAGTATATTGTATTAAGTTAAATTTTATAATAAATTTAATTAATATAATAAATTTATTTTTAAAAATATTTTATTCACTTTTGTGGAGCATGCTATCAGATAGGCTTGACCAGACTTCTTTGANAATAAAATAGTATATTCAACCATTATTAATATAACCAAAGTCTGTAGGGTTTTTTTAGTGTGTTTCTTCACAGATGGTACAGCATGGTACTACATAATCATAAATAATAATTTAAACTAATTTTACCTCTTTGATCTACAATATAAATTGATATTAGCTGCAACAACTTCATACATATTTGGTGGAAGAGCCAGATAGAAACAGTGATTTGAAATGTCTCCATTTTCAAATTTACATATTTGACTGTTTAGTAGCTGAAAGCCTTCTGGTTCATCATATACACTACTGATATAGCTATTCATTGTAATAAAAGATTCATATTTTTCCATTTCATCATCATTTACCTAATTTAAAAAATTACAATTATACATAAATTATTTAATTTATTTATTAATAAAAACTGTATTTCTAATTATATTAAATTCTAGAATAAAAACTCTAAAGTAATATATAATAATAAATATACAATAAAATAAAATTAATGTAAAAGGAAACTTTCAATACAGTGATGCCTTATACTTCAAGTTTAATTCGTTCCAGGAAGTTGTTTGAATAAATTTTCTTCATTAGAAATAATGGAAAGTAAATTATTCTGTTCCCAGTCACTAAATAATATCCATTTCAATAAACTTAAAAAGAGCAAATATAATTTAAGGCAAAAATAACACAATTAAATGCCCTAATTGTAAACTAAAATATGAAAACAATAACTATAAAATACTAAATATTATGTAATAAAATGAAAATTGCATTCATTGGTCAAACACTATCAACTTCAACATCTGAAACATTGGCTGCTAGATGTGCCACACATGTACTGTACCGTTTACATGTTTCACAATAAATTAATTTTTTATCTCAAACTTTGATATTACAACCTTCCTCTTTGATTATGTGCTTCCACATGCTTCTCAGATGCCATGTTTAATAAATGAAGATTATATTAAGTTGAACAGAATGTTTTTTCATATTTTTAACCACTATCATTATTTAATTTAGATGTGCAATTTAATTATAACAGTTATGAAATTTAAATTCATATTAGCAATAATGTGTTTATTCTTTGTTTAGGAGTCCCTTCACATTTTCTTTGAATGAAAATCAAGTTGAAATGTCTTTAGATAAAAAGCCTATCAGGTATATTATTTTTGGTGAGTTTTGAAAAGGATATAATGCTGTACAAACAGTAAAAAAAATTTTTAATATGTGTGGGGAAGATGCTCCTAAACTTTGAATGTGTGGTTTCAAAAAGTTCCATTTGGAAAATTTTGAACTAAAGAATTCAAAATGTACAGGGCACCCAAACTGTCCACAAATAAAATGAATAAAAATTGTGGAATACAATTTTTAAAAAATTTACAAACAGCACACAACATATATAATCAAACACCAAAAATAAAACAAGCACTGAAACACAAGAGTGAGACTAAAAGAAGACTTGCATGTACAACTAATGGTGTATTTAAAGTACAAGGTACTACTGTATTGGTGTCACTTTGGCAAATTTCATTTTCAAATATATATGAAAATGAAATTTGCATATATATAATAAGCATATAATATATATATGCTTAATAATTTCAATATTTTCAGTTACAATACATTTCATTCTGTGTTTAAATTTTCATTTTCAGTCTGAAATTTTAATTTATATTTATTTATAAATGTTTAAGGAAAACTGAACATATTTTCTTTTTCCTACTAATTTTCCTAATTTATTTCTACAATATTTAATAGATATTTACATATTTGATTATGAAAGATAAATGAATATACTACTATATTTAGACTTTCAATTTTCTGATAATGTTCAGCAATGTACAGTACACAAATATAATTTTTAAGAACAAATAAAATTAACTTTCTGTTTGTTGAACAAAAAGCATTTAAAGATTCCTTTTTTTCTGTAGGTCCTCAAATTTTTAACTCTATCTAGCCTTTAAACATCTTGAAAATCATTTTTTCCTGTATTCATTATGGATTTACTAAGCCCATAATGGAATAGTCAAGTAGTGAGAGAGAGAGCACAACATGTCCAGACTGAATCATCCTAATGATTCTAAGAGCCATGTGCATGCAAACAGCTGCATTAAAGAAAATACATTAAGCAGAGTTCATTTCTATTTGTAAGAAATTAAAATATCTTATTAAAATTATTTGAAATTAGATGTACAGATTTGAAAAAAATAGTTAAGTTGTAATTGTAAATATCTATTTTATTAAACAAAAAAAATCAAGAGAACATTAACAATAAATAAAAAAGAAGACTAAAAAATAAGAAGAAAAACTTACATTAAAATATGATTTTGCTTTCTCAAATATTTCATTTATTGTTAATTTTGATCTTGCAAATCCAATAAAAGTAATTTTCTTTGGTAGAAGTCCATCTCTATATAATGACCTTAGAAAAGAAGAGTAAATTAATCAGTAAAAATAAATAAGTTATTTATTCACATAAAAAATTGATATCTTTTTTCAATTACAAAATTTCAGGCAGTCAATTTCATAAAAGTTATAAAAATGATTCCTTACCAAAGTGTTGGATAAATTTTCTTTCTTGCAAGATCTCCCTAAAACAAATTTAATAATATATGTTACAGTAATTTACAAATGTAATATGTAATGCTTTAAATGGTATAAGTATAATATAAATATAACAAAATTACTTTGATTCATTATACAATCACTGTTTATTCTGAATTGGGGTTCCATATTTATATATTGAAAGAATTAATTAAATGTTTATTCAAGCTGTTTTAAAACTAGCAATAAATAAATTATTCTTGTAAAGAATTGTAGTTTTTCTTCTAAATTATTAAGCACAACTTTTAATAAACCAAATTCTTCTTAAGTAATAAAAAGAAAAACAGTGAAATACCCCAATCTTTCAATGTACAGGATGCCCACTTAAACGGGGGGCAAACAGATGTTTCTAGCATAAGTTATATTATGGAATGCAGCAGACAATTCCACCAGATATTGCATCACTGTGATATGCACTCATTCCACTACTGTCTGCAGCCAGCACAACACAAAATACACATAATGATTTGACTGGTGCAACACGATAAATTTATAGATAAATGAACAACAACTCCTTTAACACATTTTGTAAATTGACATGGCACTGTTTTTCCGGAATAGAGTACATGTATAACCATCACTATGTGCATTGCTAGGCAGAGGTGCTCCACAACACATGCAACATATGAAACACCAAGTGCATTTTACCCTAAATATCTGGTGTGAAATTTGGGGTGAGCAGCTTTTTGGTTCTGTGTTTGTTGCACCCTGAATAGTGACCAATATCTAAACATTCTAATGATGATGATGGATAAATAGCTTGATGACTTGCCATTGGTGCAACTACAGCAAGTGTGGTATCAGTACATAGACATACTACCTCATTTCCAGAGGGACATTGGTCAGTGGCTCATAGAATGGTTACCAAAGCAACCATTAGATAAGACATGGACTTGTTTCATGGCCACTATGTTCCAAAGACTTACATCATAAATTGATGGTTTTGGGTTATTAGTGCTGTGTGATGCCAGCAAACTGGAGAAATGTGTATGATAGACCTGTGAAACAGTGATGCAAGGAATGCTACATGCCATCCATAACACCATTATAAAATAAGTAATATTGACCTAATTTTTCTACCAACATAAAAGAAAAAATCTGTTGTATTAATTTCATTCAATATTTTATGGGAAAAAATTGTTAATTCTGAAAATTGAGCAGTTACCAAAAATTAAAATGGTTTATTTATTTGCATATAATCTTATGACTGAAAATTTGCATTATATGGGGGATATAATAAGGATAAAACAAGAATAATGTTGTCTAATAAAAAGATTTAATTCTTTGCTTAGAGGAACTGTTTTTACTCCTCTTAAGTAATCTCAATTTATAAAATATTAAAATGATCATAAATTAATAATTAAAACAAAAGAATGGCTTGAATATATAAATTGCTGATATTCAGAAATCAATGAATATTCGAACTAATTCTTGAATTATGAATAAACATAATTTAAATTTTAAACTTTTATATAATTGTGAATAGATAATTTTTTTTTTATTAACTGCCAAACTTCCATTAGAAAAAGTTTTTCACACTTTGACAAAAACCCAACAGTTAGGAAATGCATAACAAAATTACACAGTGGGTGATCAGTTAACGAACATAATCCATTCTAAGACAGACCTTGTTCGCTATCTGAATTGTTTGTTAAATCGATTTACCATAGGTTTCTATGGGAATTTGATTAATTCGTTCTTGGAGACCCCCAAAAAATAAAAAATACACACTTTCTTACTACATTTATTCATATGTAATAATAAAAATACATATAAAAATGCAAGACCGTGTATATTAGTCATGTTTTTTCCATTTGTGGGGGGTTAAATAATCTGTCTAATGTCGATTACTTCTGAAAAATCATGAAGACAGAAAAGCAATTAATAATATTGTAATTGTAGAGATCCCTAAGCCTATTAACCTCAACCTGGCTTGGATGCCATTTTAAGACCGTTGTTCTGACATCCTCCCACTTCTTCAAAAGATCTTTAATAGCAGATAGATATCGGCATAAATCTGCATTTTCAGAAGAAAACATAAAAGAATTGTTTCTGTCAGAAATATAAAAAGGTTGAAATTACAAGGGAAAAATTTCAAAGTTTGGGGGAATACTATCTGATCAGTATATACTGGGTTGAACGTCGATGTCAACGTCTCCCACGCTCCAAAAAGTTTTGAATTGTTATCCAAAGACACAGGAAGACCAATCGGTATTCATTATTTTAAGTTGCTTCTTCTTGTGTTTGTTCAGTGAAGTGTTCGTTATCCGAATATGTGTTCATCGTCCGATCATAAAAATCTTTCATGAAAGTGTTCGTTATCCAAACTGTTCATTAACTGATCACCCACTGTATTTATCAACTGGTGTTCCAGATTGTTTCTAAAATAATCCAGATATAAGTATAAATGTTCACCTGTCCTTGTATGAACAGAGGATACCTAGAGCAGAGAAAGTTTGAATCATCATTAACAAGAGAAAAGACTTTTCCAATTGTCTTTACTGTCATGTTTAGAAAAATGTGGTAACTGGAAGAAGCACCAAAGAAAAATCTAATACCTAATAAGACAAGTCCTACATCATCTCAAAAATGATGTAATAATTAATAATTGTAAGTCATTATAGTTGCTTTTTTCAGCAGAAATGTATATATATACTGAAAGAGAATGCAATATAAGAACATACTAGACAAATTACATTACAGTTCCTAAACAAGTAATAGCAATAAAGAAAACTGAGCACCAGATTATAAAGAAATGACAAAATCATCATGGGTGATATAACAACTTAAATAACTTAAATATCAAGGTCAATGAATTAAGAGAAAAAGAAATGATGACATTGTTTTATTATATCCCATAAATATCTCTGAATAAATGTCTCGAAGTGTGTAATTTTCATTCATACACGTACATAATTTTATAAAGTTACATAACATGTGCCAAATAAAAATTTACATTTCCTTTAAATACTTTAAATATTAACTAACTATCAATATAAATAATATGCTACAATAGCGCAAGACAATATCAGCGGTTTAAATTTTTCATTTTTTTAATTATTTCTACAGTTACAGAAAAAATGTAGACTATAAAATAAATTGTTTCACCAGATATTATTTCACCTAGAATTTTAAACTAGAGTTTTTAAAAATAAAATATATAAAATAGGCAATTCTTTTCTTACTTGCTGTTATGCTTACTAATTTTAAATATTTTTGCACAATTCTATTTTTTAATTATTTAGGAAAAACAGAATTTAATTATTTTTTTTGTTATTTTTCAATGTCGCAAGAAAAATATTTTTTTAAATTATTCAAAAATGCAATGTCTTTTTTGTTTTCTAAATATAATAGCATGCAAAACATCCCGTATTTATTAGATATTAAATTTATTGTGAAGTATGTCAATCCTTCTGATGATAAATCAATTTATTTTATTTAAAAAATATACATAATTGTTTAAATTTGGATACATTTTATAAATATTTAAATGTATTTTTCAAGTGTTTCATATTCTCTAGTGTGAAGTGCACTTGGCTGCACAATTGACGCAACCGAAGACGAACACTGAGTAAAAGTATTAAATAAATTATAACCGCAGAGAAACATTAAAGTTTTAAAATAAATATTTTTTGGCATCTTTCCTACACAGTGCTATATATAACAAAGGTCTAAAAATATAAATATTTCAATATAATTGATTTTTAATTCTTAAACAACTTACCGATGCCCCAAAAATGACGAACACGTAATGTTTTTCATCAATAGAAGGTTTTAAATGATGAATTGATTCTTTGTACAACTCAATACACTCAGCAGACACGTGGGTGTCATTCATTTCGGTATTCACGCCGTTATCAATGAAGAGACAAGAGAGAACAGGACTGTACCTACCGAACACCTCTAACTGGTACACAGTTTGTGAGTAAATTGTTGCGTTGGCCGAGTTAACTTTCTTTTAAAAATACAAGCCTGCGAGGAAAACACGAGCACATTGTTCAACAACCAATCACCATTCATTTCTATCAGGTGAGGGTTTAGACTTGTGACGTAACACCTTGAACAGACTGGTTTCGGAATAAATATATTTTTAAATAATTATCGACAATTTTTTAAATTTTTAGTAGGCTAATTACCCGAAGGAAAATATGGAAAGTGTTCTTTTACATCTCGCTTCCTCATCCTCTTGGCCCGTTAATATAGAGGGGATTGAGCCTTATCCTCTAATTAATCATTAAGAATGATAGAAAGACCCCTCCGGGTATAATATATTCGCACGCGGGATGCTTGTCATCCTACTTATCTCTTCACTTTGTAGTCTATTCGTAAGTATCAATAATCTGGCCACACGTGACCACCTTAATCACACGTGGAGTTTATATGTATTCAACTTCCAGCGCCACTATTGTTGTACAGTACAACGCACGTGAAATATAATATAATAATGTGAGTATATATATTTATTTATTTTATCTCATTTCTTATTTATTTGAAATTACTTTAATAAATTTCAATTTATATATACGTTATCACGCTCTAAAAATTTCTGAATTGCAATTACTTATAAACAGGGTCAAATGCGTGATTTTTAAATATAATTAAAAGAAATAGATTCGAAAAAAATCGAATGTAAAAATTTTTAGGTTATCGTACAGATTATTTTTTAATTCTTCGCCCTTTGGGCCTTTTTATCGAGTCCACTGGTCTATAATGGGGCGGATGGATGGTGAGAGAAATGGCCATACTAACCCGGATGGACCACTCCTAAAAGATTCCTGGGCCTTTTCCCTGATTCCTCAGAGCGGTAGGCTGTCACCTCAACCACTCAGCCATCCGCCGTTATGATTGTAAAACCTTTGAACCCCATATCTCGTATATTGTGTATATATGGGGTTTAAATATATACAGTAAAACCTGTTGAAAACAGAACCTTCGTAAAATGTAAACCTGTCAAACCGGAAAAATATTCGAGTGAGTTCAATTTAGGTTGTAATATTGTATAGTGATATTGTACTACTGTTTATATAAGTAACTGGTTTTGATTTTCGCTAATATAGCAGTTCAATATGTTTTCGCTATTTGTATACATTTTAATTGATTTATATAAAATTTTTCCTGTAAGATATTTGAAATGAGGATATAAAAACCTGATTTAATGTTTATATCATATACAATATTTAATTATAAATAAATAGTTAATCTAATCGTTCTTTTTATTCGAATATTTCCTGAATTTTCTGTGGCTATTACAGGGCTATAAATTCATTTTATTACGCAGTATGCACTATACACAGAGGGTTTCGCCATCGTAATTTAATAATTATAATTAATTATTGCTAATGTCCTAGACTAAATTCAGCGGCTAACGCTCCAAAACATGCCATTCCTTTGCACACACCATATCAAATTTTTAACAATTGTCTTTATGTTCTTTATTCGATGAAGTCTGGAAACCATTCACACAGCCAACTGAATGAATTGAATCCATTGAGATCAGGCGTTAGTCTGTCTTGTGTTCTCGTTTTATGCTTTTTTTTATACAATAAACAAATAAATTATTAACTTCTTCATGTTTTCTAGACACTGTTTCATTAATATTCATCAGAATATTTTTGGAATTTCTATCTTTGCCCCTTGACTAGGCTGGACGTAGGCATGTTATGGCTCTAAGCTGTTGTTAACTTAGCAAATAACGTCAGTGGCCGGACAATAACGTTATCGCTTAAGAATATTGGAAAATAACGTTTTAGTCTGGTCAATAACGTTATAACTCTATCAATATTAACAACGACTTGGCATTATCGTTATCTCACAGTTTCTATGTGACTACTGTACTTTATTTCTCCTTATTTCTACTCGCTTGTGCTACAGTATCAGTGCCAATTGCATAGATTACAGAAGCTTCCGTACTTGAGCGATAAGAGAAGTATTTCGGGTGATTTAATTTGATTCATAATTCGTTCATCTTTAATAAGAGTAATGGAACCAAACGGTATGTTTAGAATATTCGACGAGGTAATACTAACATCGTTGACAATGAAAAACTATTACTGTTGCGTGACGTCAGCGGGAAAAGAAGTATTTACCCGCTAATAATACCATTATGAACGCTAATGGGCAATGTTAATACCAAGATGTTTGTTTGTTTCGACATTTTAAATAATTTACTGTTGCATCTCAAACTAGCATTGATTTTTAACTGCACAGTTTATCAGCGGAGCGACACTTGTATTTGTTAGTTTGGGATTTTATTTTGCAATTGTTTTGTATCATTCCCTGTGCCCAGAGACATTCTTAAATGACGCTGCCTCTTTCAAACTCTATGACTAGTTAACATCATTGCCCTAATACAGGAGTTCTCAACTTGTGAGATTTCACAATAAAAATCCGTTGAGTCTAGTGGTGTATGAATGTGCCAATGCAGATTTGAAATGTAAGAGTGTCCATGTTTGTTATATTTTTACAACATAACGGGTTTGGATGCTCAAACGCCATTATTCGTCATCAACGATATCGATGCCATTGGAGTAATGATTTTAGAATTGATAAATTATTCCAAAAACGAAAATGTCCATGGTTGATAGTAAATTGCTCGTTACTTACGTAATATAGCATGCTAAATTCTTTTCATTTTACTTCTTTTTTAAGAATTTAATATCAAAGGATATGAAAAAAGACTTGTGTATCGATAAACCTGAGCTCTGATTTTCTTCGAAAATGACACTTTTATTAAATTCACTTTCTATTAGCTACAAACTTTCTAAACTAGCAACAGAAAAATTAAATATTTCTCAAGTCAGTTTTTGTGTTCAAAAATCGATTTTTTTTTTCTGTTTCAACAATAGTTTTTGTAATATTTTTCCGCAAATGAAATACTTTTGAACAATAACCATGTTTAATATTTTGCTGAGCACGTTCTATTTAATGAAATACTTTTAGTTGTCAAATACAAATTAGTAGCCAATGAAAGTGAGGTTTTTAACAAATCTTTCAATAGCATCAGTTATATGTATTCATATTGATATTTATATTTTTCATAAATTTATGTTGCATTTTCAGAAAACGATTGATACATAAGGCATTTCTTTATTTCATCATTCTGTTTGTCATTGCAACTATTCTGCCGGCCATTAATGTTAATGACTAGATAAACGTCATTGACCATATAGAATTATTTTGAATGTCTTAAAATGTTCTCAGTCAATGGGTTCTCTGCTTGTAAAACAGTTTTAATACAACTGAATGAGCAAACCAGTGATATTTGAAACTGGTTATATCATTGGTTTGCTTATCTAGCTGTATTAAAGCTGCTTTAGCAGGCTTCGCGCCCAATGCTACTCATAGAGGATAATAAAAAGTATTGCATTTGATTACAACATTTCATCCACTGTTAGTTATACTAGAAAAATTATGCCAGTTATAAAATGTAAAACAAGCTGTCGTAAAGAGAGAGCCTACTATATGTGACATGGTTTACAGTCAAACCTCTGAATAGCAGTCACTGACGGTTAAGATGATAGTCTATCGCTCTTGGGGACCGGGGATGGGGATTCGGACGGATCGAAAGACCCAGGGAATTTTTCGGGATCCAGAATATGTCGGGCCCCGTCCTTCATTGACCATCCATCCCATCGTAAGCCTGGCTGAACCAATAATAGGCTAATAAAAAAGCCTCTTAGTTCAGGCCTCTTAGTTAATAGGCTAATAAAAAGGCCTCTTAATTTTGAATCATCAGTATTATGAATTGCTTAATTCATAATACTGATGATTCAAAATTAAAGCATCCCTATTCAGAATAATTTGCAAAAATAACCGTAAAAAAACGCCATTAAATTTGTTGTGTGTATATTCTAGAACATACATGGGAAGCAATTAAAATGGTACAAATACCCACCTACAAGGCATGTAACCTTGTAGAATGGTGCACCTGATCATCCATAACTAAGCCTAAATAGGCTTTTTTACGATATCTAATCATCTTTATATATTAATGTATAGAAGGAACTCAATAAAATTGTGATTAAACTCACATATTCCGATTAATATGATTCATTTTGCAATCACAGCTATTTCCCCACCCACTCATATCACAAACGTCTAGCTGCAGAAACACATTGGCTGCCTGAGACCGACCTTAGCGCCTTTAGCGAAATATATCGAGCGAACTCGTAATCAGTAAGACGAACTCATACGTGTTTTAAAAAATTAGAAAAAGAGCTGTATTTTGTTTTATTTAAATCAAAATTTATGCTGTAGTAATTTACATTTAAACTTAAAAAATTATACCTCGATTATATACGAACAAACAATATGTTTTACTATATTCACACCTTTTACTTAATTAAACCATTATACTTAAACCATTTTAATATAATTTGAAAGATATGAGATGATAAAAATCATTGCGTGCTCGGAATGCATCTCCAGATTATAAAAAACAAAAACCTGTGTGTTCATTTAAGAAAATTTCATCAAATGATCGGATAATACGACCCAGTTTTTAAGAAAATAAATAATTATAGTAAAATTTGTGATATATGAGATAAAAGATTTTCGTTTTTGTATAGTTTGAGAAGACAAAAACGCAGTGTACAGAAATAATGTTCATATAAAATAGATTTTTTAGAATAAGAGAGCAACGTTACAATGTTACAATTAAGACTCCGACGTCCCGTAAACAACTGTAACAATACATTTCTTTTACGTGACTTATTAAAAGCTCGTCTTATTTCTAAATATGAATTACAACTTGACTTTAGAGAAATATTAATTTAACTCATTAAATGTAGGCCTATTATTTTTTATTATTAATATTAATTTATGTATTAAAATAATAAAAAACACAATATAAATGAATTGATATTTTTTTCCTCAGCCCAGCTAATTGAAACTAGGGTTTCTCATACGGGATCCCGGGATCCCGGTTGTTTTTTTAACCCGGGAAATATCTCGGGAAATTTTTCTTATCCCGGGAAATCCCGCAAATTTCTTAAAAATTCACTTTTTTTCTTATTTTTTGTTAAGGTTGAGGAGTTTTGCAAATAGAAAGCATAATTAACTCATTCACTGCCAGAATACATTTGTATTTATTAATTTTAAACCTACCTATTAGTTTTTTTAAATTTTTGCT